GGGGGGGGGGTCTTCGACCTGAAAAATCAGGGGTTAGGATTTGCACCCGGTCGAAAGAAACCTTGCTATCGCAAGAGTAACTCCAGTTAGCTTCGCTAGCTTTCGTGATAACAAAAACGCATAGCCACCAGAGTTCTCCCTGCCCTGGAAGGGCCACTTCCCCTCCGGGTGCGGACCGTATGAGCTCATCACTGCACTGGCCATCGAATCGAACCGGTTAAACCGATGTGGAGCCGTCGGTCTGAAACCAATGAGCCCGGTGGCTTGAACGCCACGATCCCCTCGTCACGATCCGGACGTTGGATTCACAAAACATTGGACGTTTGGGCCGGCTCGTCCTCGATTCGCGATGTTTCGTCCAACTCGAGACCTCCGGCTCGTCCTCTGCGTGACGGAGCCTGGACCTCCGTGTTGTCCACGCTCTCTGGTGCCTTGGACATGCGGCGACTGCGGCGACGATGGTGACCCCCCTCTGACGCAAGTCCTGAAGACTCACGGTGACTCGTGCTGCAGACTCATGCTCGAGTAAGCGGACAGACTCTCAAACAAGGAGAAAGCTTAAAACATGCATGACCAGTTTCCTGGTGGTTGCATTGTTCGTCCATGTTGGTTTGTTGCTTGATTAGGCCGGTAGAGCAGTCTGCATTGCAGCCAGAAATCTTCAAGTCTAAGTTAATTGAAGGAGAGATGTAGACGCGCCAAGCTTCATGCAGCAGTCAACCAGCGATCAAGCCAATTTGATACTGATGATGCTTGCCCACGGTACCATCAACCTCTTTTGCCGATTCTGACTCACCAAAGAGAATCGAGCGAACACGAAAGAATGGGCACTTTAGACCTGGTTTTGTCTATGTTTAAACCTAAATAAGCCAGAAAACCTGGCAGTTCTTCTATTTTTTTGCACTTTAGACCGGGTGTTCGTGAAATAAAAGAACTGCCAGAAAACGATCTCGGCTCAGAAACTCGATCCTCCGGCTCCGAACCACCAATTCCACCCACCCGCCACCGAGCGCCACCGAGCCACAGAGGTGGGCTGAATGCTGAAGGCTCGCCTGTGCCGGTGGAGAAGCGTGCGATGAAGAGTTTCATCTGCGATGAAGGGGTGATGATAGGGGAAATCCTCGCAGAGCAAAGGGGGCCACCTTAGGAACCAGACGAGGTTCCTAAGGAAAACCTGAATCAATGTACCCAAAATGGCATTGCCAGGATGTGCACCAAGTGGCGTACCCACAACCATCCCCCCGTTTGGTGGTGCAACACACAGTCGCTTCGCTTCGCGTATCGCTTCGTGCCTGGGAGCTGGGATCCGGTGCAGCAGCCCGGTGCGGATATCCGCACCAATGGCGCCCTCCCCTGCCATCCCGAGCCGAGTGAACACCCGGCTGAGCGGCCGCACCGGTGCAAGGCTAGGGCCGGTGCTGCCAATGGTCATTCACAGTGAATGTCACGGAATTGTCTCTAAATGTGATGCTGGTGATGTTAAAGCTCCTCCATGCTCACTCAATGTACCGGAAAGAAAAAATACCCGAACAAACTAATGTTTCTCGATACTTCATTGATAAGATGTCAAAGGGAAACATGGGAACATACGGTACCATTTTCTCACTTTAGGGCTGAATACCAAATCTGTGGGCCAATCGATGAACCAGCAAAACCTCGCTCTGACCAGCAAAAGTGCCCGTGAAGGCGCGTGAGAAAGGCGCGAGCAGACTACCTACGGGTCCAGTCTCCAGCGGAGCTTCGACTCTGTCAGTTCCACTTGTCTCCCCTGAGGCCAGGGCCGCCCCAATCAGTTCTGGGGACGATGATCACCTGCCAGCCAATGGACGAAAAGCTGGGTTCAAGCAATCCATCAAAGGAGGCCCTAGAACAAAAAGCCCTTTGTCTTTCTTTCTTTCTTTCAATCACCCAACACAACTGTCCGCAAAGAGGTATGTAGAAGAGTAGACCCGCATTCACTTCGAGGTGGGGCACACCGACCTCAACCACCAGTCTCGAGTCCAGCTGTTCTTTCGATGGTTCGATTCGCCATCGTCCCGTTCGCCTCACGAACACTCTCCGAGTCCAGATTGTAGACCTCGAAGCAGACCGCTCGAGCTCTCGAGGTCGGTCACCGATGGGTGGTGAGTACGGTGGTGGAGCGAGGTCGAATCGAAAAAGAAAAAAAAAAAAAAAAACAAGATCTGATGTTGATTCTCCGCATCCAGGTCTTTATGTTCTCTTCTTGGTCTTCTTGGTTTCATTGAGTTTCATGCGTTTCTTCTGAAGTCGGAGGGATGTGCAGCGCTGGCACACCAATCCCTATATTCAATCTCCATACGGTTCCATGCATGACTTTACCTTCATCATCCTTCATCATCCGACTCTGATGCCAAACCTGCATGTGTGCACCACCAGTTCAAAACAATTGCCCTGTGTGGGTGCACAGGGTTAAGAAAGATATCTGTTTGGCGGGGGTTCAAGGGTCGAGGGTGGGGGTTACAGTGAAATCTGCAGGTGAGACCGTATCCCACTTGCACCATGAGACACAACGGGCCCAGAAAAATCTGAGGTCCCAAACATAGACCTTCAGCTCCTTTCCCATGTACAAATTCACCACTTCTGCCAGCTCATCCTGCCAGCTCATAGGTCTTCCTCTAAATGTGCTCTGCTCGCTGCGTAAAATGCGCGGAGAACCGTGCCCTCTAAAGCTTCTTAGCTTTCAGTTGAAGACATTCCCATAAACTGCTCGAATGCTAAATCAACAAGACGATCCTGATGACTTCAGGGTGCGATTGAACAGCGCAGTCTGCACGTTTGGTTACGACCCATGCCTTTCCCCAACAGAAGACCCCAGGAGTCTCTTGCGGAGCCAATCTGCGAAGACCCTACAGTCACTCAGCCCATCTGCACCACGCAGCTCCGCAGCGGACGGCACGTCGCGCTTCGGCACGTCAACACGTCCGACGCACGGTCCATGTCCCGGAACATCACCTCGGTGGTGCCCAACAAGAAGTCCTGCAGACAGAAAGAACACGCATGCTCAATGTGAGGCAAACACCTTTGTAGCATAGTCTAGCCCTTTAAAAAAAGTAAAATAGATAAGGATGTCAAGGTCATCCAAAGCCCCTACCCAAGCCCCAAGCCCAGTGCTACTTGGGCAACATCCCATCAGAAAAGCACGAGTTTTCTGCTCCACTGGAGATCGGAGGTTCTTCATCGTTGCGTGGTTCCAGTCCACGCCTTGTTGGGCACCAGTCCCGCCATGGCCGCCGGAGAGTTTGGGAAAATGCTTAAGACCCGCATGCCCTGCACCCGCGGCGGCAGCGGGGGACCAGAGGGCTCTTTTGTAGTTGGAAAAACAAAACCAATTGATAACAGGACCAGTTGTTCCTCTTTTTTCTGTATGTGGTTTCTGTCTTTTTTGTCTCGTTGTTCGGAAATGGTGATCTGGAGGCAAGGGCCTGATCGCTCAACTGCATACCGAGGTCTGATGGTCTGATGGACTGTGATGTGCTCCTTGGATAGGTTCCTTGGTCTTACTGTTACTGGCATGCAAACAATGGTACTGCCTTCCGTCCGCAATCAAAATATCTCTCTCTCTCTCTCTCTCTGTCTGTGGATCCAATCTTGTTTCGCTTCAGGATATCACTGCCTTTTGCTCCATAGGAAGTGTGGAATTCTAAAGAGAAGCCTTATGACAGGACGTGTATCCTCCTCGTCGCCTGGTTTCATACCGCTGGAACGGGGCAGCACCCGGTTTCAACTTATTGTTTGGCTTCATCTATCAGTTGTGCTCCACCCTTAAGCACCCGAAAGAATCGGAGTTCCCAAGAGCTGGGAGACACTCCGTGCGAGTCGGCTTTCCTGCCTCATGTCGTTTGGGCCACCAGGATTGATTAAGTCAGACAATGGCGGTGAGTCACATGGCGGTGAACAGGGAGACCCCCTGGCCCTGGGGTCAACTGGTCCTCCGTTTCCTTCCTTCGGGGTCGGACGACTGGGAGGTCTCCCTATTTGAGCTACACACCCATATGGCTGTGGGTCACAACTGCCTCACCGTCTGTGCGCCACATCGCAAAACTGCGGTATCACTTCTGCCTGCCCCTCGGCACTTTCCAGCGAGTCATAGCGCACCTTAGTTACAGTGATGCCACCTATTGAGGCACTCAAAAGGCCTCAAAGAGATCGTCTGGATGGAATTCATGATGCAATGATGTAACTCAACATGCGAATTCTGGATAAAGGATGTCAGCGAACATTCGCAAGGTGACGATTTCCTCATGTCTTAGGTCTTTTGGAGCCTTCGATTTGGATGGGCACAAAACGCTCCAGGCACCCGCACCACTGCCCCAAGCAAGCCAGCACCGCCCCAACGCCTCCGTTGGCGGGCCGCCACAGATGGAGGGAGACTTGCGAGACTCAAGGAGATCATCAACTTTGAGAGAAGGTAAAAATACACTTCAAAAGAAAGCCGATGATTAGTCATGGGCATTTAGGAATGAAGTCACTGAGCAAAAAATCATTCCAAGATGAAAGAATTGTTGAGAGTTTCCTCCGATCCCAACGTTCTGTGCTGCTGGAAAACCTTGGAAGATCAGCACACATCCCCCACGGATGTTAGCCGGTGAAGAAGAGGGGCCGGTGGGAAAGCACTCTGCGTTCTTGGACTCTGCGCTTGAAAAACACAAGGAATCTTGAAGCAAGCTGGCCTATGAGCCGGGACGACAAAGGTAGGTCAACCCGCTCAACCTGCTCAACCGGCCACCCGTCATCCGCCCAAAAACCGGTCGCGTCTCGGAGAGCGCAGAAGCAAAGGTCGAACTGGGAGCACCAGCCCAGGTGGGGATTTCAAGATTCCTTTTTGATCACTTTTGTACCTAAAGTCTTTCCCCATCACCAGGGATTTCACAGCTATCTTCGGAAGACCATTTGCTGTCCAAACTCCCATCCCAATGGTCAAGTGTGGCTGACTTGAGATGCATCTGCATCCAACCCATCCAACCGAAACGAAACGAACCGAAACGACCAAGAGGCCCGCCAGGGCCGCGCTGAGCTGCTCACCACATGTCACCGGTACCGTGCCTCGGTGTCACGTAGACCTCTCGTGCCCTGGGGCCGGCGAAGGCGACTCGATCTCTCAGCTCAGCTGAAACGACTCTTTCTGCTCAGCGGAACGTCTCTTTGCGTCCAAAAAACCGGCCGAATCGATCTCTTCGACGAAACTGACGACTTGCCTTTCCGCCAATGCGACGCCGCGACGAGTCCAGTTCGTGCGGATATGTTTGACCATCGAAAGAGGGTTCTGTTTATCTAAGAGTCAACGTTTATTTGGATTGTGCTTGCTGGCGGAACAACAAAAGAAACAATTATGCTATCTGGGAGTTTGTTTCAAGTGGATTGATGGTTTCGATTTATTTGGCCACCACCACGGCAAAAGTTGTAGATGCCCCAATGAAACAGTCCAACCATTCTTGGGGCTTTGGGATTGAAGATATCACATATCAACTTGGCATCATAGACTCTTCCGGGATTCGACCGTGGAAGAAGGGACTCCAACACGGTCTAAGAGGTCATTTCTGGTCACCCTCCCATCGACGTGTCCAGGGGAATCGTTGGACACTGGATGACTCGGCCAAGGCCCGCAGGATGCGACCGGCGACCTGTTGGATAAGAAAACCATTGAAAACGCCTGGCTTTTCCTTTCTTCGCGCTATGCAGAAAAACACCTGGTAATCAAAAGAAAATCTCTGTGCTTGCAGTAGTTGTGTTGTTGCTAGGAAAGCATTTGAAGGATTCTTACTTCCTACATATTCCTACATCATACATCCAAACAAAGCTCACCCAAGCTCACGTCATCCGAAAAACATCCTTCCAAAGCTCCCAACCCTCATCTTTGCCATTCCGATGTGGCACAACGACTCAGGTGGCCGGGCGTGTGGGTGCGGATGTTGTGCACCACCAATTTGGTCCTCTGGTTTTCGGCCTCAGCGCGGTGTTGCGCACGATGTTTTCGGGGCAGCCCGGGCAGGGCCAGACGTTCCAAACGCCCCGTTCACTCGGAGGTGTTGAGCTCCTAAACTCGTGAAGTAACAGGAGTCTTTGGGGAGTCGATCGATTCGACTCGTGACCAGAAGCTTCTCTTCCAAGATGTACTTATCCGACTTATCCCCAACCCCGCAGGTCTGCTGGATGTCTATGGACTGCTAAGGGCTTTGGAGCTCTTGCAGCCAAGATGCGTCCTGAATGGCTTTGGCGAAGGTGCCTGAGTGGCATGGCCATACTGAAAATGGCTCATTTGAGTGTCATCCGGAAGTTTGGTGGCCTCTCCAGTGTCAAAGCCCTCAAACCAAGCAGTATCAAACCCCACCCACGAAACAGGCTATCTTACCCAGAGCCTCACGTAAAGAAAGCCTGGCCCTTGGAACATAAGACAGCATCAATTCTCAGAAAACAAGTAGAGTCAAAATACGAGTCCAGCAGCATGTTGCTCGGGTCCACCAAGTCTTCGGGCGACCAAAGCGACGCTGGATTCGCAGCGTCCAAAGCCAAAGTCCAGAGACCCATCAGTCAAGCGGTTCGCACGAAAGCAATCATCGTTTCCCTTGATCCCCATCTACATGGGTCGAACCACAAAATAAAAACTCGTTCCCGTGCAGAGGGAAGAGAGATGGACCACCTGACCACCGGTTTCTGGCTAGGCTTCCAGGTGTTGCGTTCACACCTAAAAGATCTGTCCGTGCCACCGCCATAGCCAGAGTGGCTCTGGTCAGCATCCATCTGCAGGCCATTGATCTCCACGATGAAGTCGAAGAAGACCTGGCACGCAGAGGTGGGGGTTTGGCTAACAAAGACCCCAACAAAGGAAGAATCAGACAACAGGTTTAGCTAAAACCATGTCCAAGGAAGAATTCCCCACCATTTCCAGGCAAGATGTCCATCAGATTCCATCGAAGTGGCACATTCGCATCCTCCCATTTGGGGGGGATCTGCCCATCGCATCCGCATCCGCATCCGCCTCCGCCTGGCTGCCCCTCCATTTCGAGCCCGCACCTCGAGCCCGGCTTCCGACGCAGGGCTGCCCTCGTTCACCTTGAAGATCCGGAAGCCACCGATCTCCGTGGACCTCGGCCGCTCGGCGGGGGGAGGCCGAAAGCGAAGCGGCGAAGCCGGCCTCTTCCGGGGCAATCCTTTTGGGGGTAGCTGTTCGCTGCTTTTCGGGGTAGCGGCATCCTTCTCGAAGCTAAGGATTTGGGAAGATGAGCCTCTACCAGGTGTGAAGAACGAACTCACCTGTCACCAAGTTGAGGCTCGGACTGGCTAGCTCCCATGGCGGGGATGTTCCGGAACTACAACGCCATCAGCGAATGCGTTGCAAAGCTATGCGCAAGAATCGAAAATCCGGCTTGGTCTATAGTGCTTCTCAGAGAGGGTCTGCAACGCGTTATGTGCGCGTGTATTGCATCTGTGTATTTATTCATCAAGTCTGTATATATTATATATACAGTGGTGATGCCCTCCCAATCTACATGGTTTAGATCAGCCTTCCAATGTGTTTGCTAAAATTGGAGTGCACGGTCCGTTTCCTGGCAACCGGAAACGATTAGTTGTCCTGTTTACCAGCTGCCAGCAGACAATGACTTTCCTTTTACCTTGGAAAGGTCCGTATCCTTCGATCAATTTTTGCCAAATGGTTTGGGTTTCAGCATGCAAAACATCAGTAACCTCGCTCCCTCTGCTATGTTGCAGGCACGTCTGGCACTACATAACCAATGGAATGCTCATCATGCTCGTCTGTGTCTGATTTTACACCAACTCCACGTGAATCCCCGAATTCTGATGATAGTTAACAACACCCAAGTCATCCATTAGGACTGGGAAGGACAATTTTTATGTTGTTCATCTTATTTGCGTGCCAAATGTGCGCATCTTCCGAGTTTTTCTGAGCCACAAGCCGGGCCGCAGCCGAGAGACGGGTACGGCAACACGTGGCCCTGGACAGACCCAAAAAAACATGAATTGGATCACCATTCCCACAATCTATATCATTCATAAACTGTCAAAAGGCACAGAACACGTCCAGCTTCTGGGAAGTTCACATGCTTTCCGTCTTCGACCACCTTTCACCTCGGCATCTTTTCACCTAGTCCAGCCGCTGCTTCTTCTCCTCCGTGGCCTCCTGGGACCGGCGCTGAATTCCAGCTGTGCCGGGAGTGAAGTAACCATCTCTACCAACACATGTGAGAGGGGCGGAAAAACAAATGTCTCTGAACCATCTGTCAGGTCGTGAAAGGATGTCTTACATGTTCGTCACGCTAAGACTGCAAATTTACCGTGTCCTTGCCGTCTTCAGGACTGGCTCTCGAGGTTTAGATATAACTGTTCAACAGAATGGTTCAGATCGTGTTGGGTTCATCTCCGACTACTGCCACTAACACCACCAAGACGACCTCTACCTAAACTCTGGGCCTAAACTAGTGCCTAAGCTGCTACCTCTGTCCTACCACCAATATACAACCATATTGTTTGGCATTGCTTCAAGGTGAAAAACTCATTGAAGTTGCTCTTCTTTTGACAAAAAGCACGCCAAGAAAGAGAGGTCTGGGGGGAAGCCGTGGAATCTCGTGGTACAGGGTGGAATTGTTTCATAATGACCATAATCGATGCTGCAGAAATCCTCTCAAACCCTGCTAAGTCCATGATGTCTTGCATTCTGATGAGCTCTCTGCGGTGAGTCAAAACAAAGCTGATGTCTGACACGGCGACAAACCCAACTCTACTTTTGGGCACGCCAGATGTCATCACGCGAAGTGACCGTAAACAGCGCAGGACGATTTTGCATGGTTAAAAACCGATGTCCGGTGTCAAAGCTTCCCGATGTCATCCGTGAGCCCATCTCCGTCATCGAAATACATCACCACCAACAGTAGAGTTCTTGTAAATCAGTGTATGAGATTACTTTCAAATGAAAACTCAATGGATCATCGAACAGCAAACCTCACCCTTTTCAAATCTTCTTGGACCTCTAGAACCTGCCAAACCTGCCGCCCACCGGCACTCGAACATGAAAGCCGCAAGCATCCGCTCAGCAGCCGACCGCAGCGTGCCGCTCACCGCGTCGCGACCGCCGCTGCGGTCAGCTCCTCAGGCTGCCAGCCGATCACGACGGCAGTCAAGTTGTCGTCACTGCCCAGTTCAAAGGCACGCCTGCGACGCCGTGGCAGATTGGGAAACTGGGTGAAGGGGAGGGATTTGTGATGTGACTGGATCAATTGGATGGGCAAGTTGACTTCATTAATGGAGAAAATAACAAAATGTGAAATTGAGACCATGGTGATCCTAGTTACTGGTGGTGTGAACATAGGTGTTGAGGGATATGTTTAGCATACAAAAAGGATACATTCAGGGGTGGTACCATCTGTCCGTCTTGTCTTGAACGGTCACCAACTACGGTGGGCCTGCCCAGAAGCTGGTGCCAAGCTGCTGGCGTTGGTGAAAGTATGCTTGAGAATGACATGGAAAAAATACATGTCGATCCAAAACCAAGGTTGGTAGATCAGACATGTAGATTCCTAGATAAACTATGTCTATATATATATATATACAGACACCAATCATCGGCAGAACGCAAAGCTGCGCAAAACGACCAGGTCTCTGTCGACTTGGTCGACTTGGGAACTTTGGACAGCTGATGAGAAGGAACGAACCTTTGCACTGGAGCTGTGGGGCGGGGGGTGGGCATCTTAGAGGTATTGGAAATAGAGAGACCTCCCAGGTAACGACCCCCAGGAAGAAGGGAAATGGAGTCTACCCAGCCAGGGCTAGGGGCTCTCCCTATGAAAAGTTGAGGCAACAACCACCGGTGAAACCATAGAGTATCCCTTT